CCCACTCAGCCAGCACCCTGCTGCGACATCACAGAGGCAGCCCCTGGGGAGTGGGCAGTGCCAGGCATGCCTTTCAGCCCAAGGCCAAGCCCCCGACCGTGGCTGATACCCCAGGAAAACCACCCTGTGCGGATCCATTCTCATAAAGAGGTTCCCAAGTCAGGGCTAGACCAGTGTGTGCAGCACATCAAAACCAGATTAATAAGCCACCCGCATAATTTGAGAGGGGGGAAAAAAGTAATGAGATTTATTTTTAATTAGATGCTGAACTTTAGGGCCTCTGAGTCATCATGAGTGAGGTTGCTTATTACATTTCTCTATAATGGTCATTCCTGAGACCACAGCACTCTCCTGGGAAACCCTCACACCGGTGGGTCACCTGAGTGGATCCAGCCTAGAGTATCTCAGGGGGTTTGGGGGGAAAACACACACTCGAGTCTTCCAGGAACACCTGCCTGCCTCCTGACCACCTCCAGAATATCCCTAAGCATTCACCTCCCTGAGTTGGGGCCGGAGAAGGGGACACTGGGAAGTGCATTTGTGGGCAGGCAATAATGAGATAATTGGCTAACCTTGAGAGAGAGCTTGGGACAATGCTGTCTGGAGCTGCATATTTTGACTAAATGTTTGCCTCTGCATGCTTATGATAGTTAATTGTGTGTGTCCACCTGAGTGGGACCCCAGGGTAGCTAGATATTTGGTTAAAGGTGATGCTGAGGATGTGTGTGAGGGTGTTTCTGAATGAGATTAACACCTGAATCAGTGAGTTGCCTCCCCAGGGTGTGTGGGCCTCCTCCAATCTGTTGATGGAAGGCCTGGATGGAACAGAAGGCTGAGGAAGAGAGAATGTGCCTGACTGTCTTTGAGCTGGGCATCAGTCTTCTGCATTTGACCCTGACTCAGTATGAAACTTACACCGCTGGCTCTCCTGGGCCCCCAGCCTGCCAACGGCACATCTTGAGACTTAGCCTCCACAATGGCATGAGCCAGTTTCTTATCAAAAATGTTATGTATAAACACACACAGTCATGTGCCGCTTCACAACAAAGACACATTCTGACAGATGTGTCACTAGGCAGTTTCATCCTTGTGCAAAACATCACAGAGTGAACTTGCACAAGCCTAGATGGTACAAGTCAATCACTTGACCTAGCCTTTTGATGTAATCAAGCTATAGTACATACAAGGTGTATGGGGTTGCTGCCATCATGACACCACATACTACTTTACAGTAAACTTTTTTGTAAGTAGGATTACATTCTAAAATAACAATGAAAAGTAATGTATAGGAAATGCATAAACTAGTTATAGAGTGGCCTGTTACTAGGATCAAAAATTATATACTGTACATAATTGGATATGCTATACATTTATACAACTAGGAGTGCAGTAGGTTTTTTACACCAGCATCCCCACAAACACATAGGATGTTGTGTGAGGAAGAGATGATGTCAGGAGGTGATAGGAGTTTCGGGCTCCATGATAATGTGTACCTTCCATCTGTCATAACTGAGTGTCATTCTGTGACATGGCTGCACAATCTCCTGTGGGTTCTCTTTCTCTGGATAACCCTGACACAAACTCCTTTGTACTCTGCACTGACTGCCTTTGAATTCGAATCGCAGCTCTTGGGCTCTAGAAGAGACATTGCCTGTGTCCAGTGATCCGGTCCTAATCAGCCCAGGGTAATACAAGAGAGGAGAGGGTTAGTTTCCCCTCAGCTGCCCAACTGAGGGGGATCCTCTAGGATTAGTCAGGTGTTAGGGATTTCCAGGGTCCTGCAGGTGCCTCCCCTATGCCCTTCACAGATCTGGCTGAAGCCAGGGGACAGCAGAAACATCCTAGCTACGTGCAGGCTGTCCCCACCCCGCAGGTGTTCAGAGCAATCTGACTAGTGAATGTACTCAGCGCCTCTAATAAACAGGTGTTGGGAAAGAAGAGCAGTAATTAAGTTAATGCAGTGGAGAAAAGAAAGGAAAATGGTTTTTATCAGTTGATGTCATGCGATCAAGACTTCTAATAAGGATGGAGTGTGACAGAAAAATACAGAGAATGGGACCTCTTATAGCCCAACCAATTAAAATGTATTTATTACAGGTTGGATTTTTTAAATGCACTCCTCTGAGCCCACGGTAGGAAAACTTTAGAAGATGACATTTCGGAGAACGTGTATTTTTCTTTCTAGACTTCTGTCTGCTGGCCATGTCATTTGGAAATTACGAAAACACAAGGAGCAAAGGGGGAAGGCAGTTGGGGGCATCTCAACCAATGGAGCCCCATGAAATCATTTATTAACAAATAACTTGATTTTGATTTTTAATTACTTGTGTAATCTACACTTTTACATTGTCATAATGGATGTTTACTTCGGTGGTTTATAACACGGAACACTTTCTGTTCTATTCAAATGCACAAGTGTAAGCATTTTCCAACTTCTTTGTTCTTAGATAAAAAGGAAATTGATCTTTATCTGGTTACCATTCTGCTTTTTAAACACGGCAAATGCTATTTCCGAGGGGGTTGGCATTGGTGGAGATGTGATGTTTCCATGGCTTCTTTCATTTTCTCCCTTATTCTAAGGAAGTTTCTGGAATACCTCTCCCGTCTTGCCTCTCTCAGCGTCTCCTAAGACGATTGGTCACAAACTTCAGAAGTTTGCAAGGCAGAGGTTTGGAAAAAGGATCTTCCTCAAGGTTTAAAATGGCAGAAAGCAATATCCCAATATCCGGTTCGCTTCCATCTGGGCTCACCAGACTTCTGGCAGCTTTGTTCCTAACATTCCCAGATGCACTCTGTGGAGTGTCCACTCTCCCCCCCGGGCAGGTTGATGGGGATGGGGCCCTCAGAATCGGTGATGCTCCTCTTTGAGAGGCACTGAGGAGCCTTTTGCTTTGCTGATCTACTCTCCCTTGCAAGGCCAGCCTCACCCAAGGTGACCTATCACCCACCCGGCAAACCCAGCCCAGGGTGCTGAATTCATATCGGATAGAAGCATAAGATGCACCTGGCCTCGTTTCCACTGTCCTGCAGAAAGTGGGTACCCTGCAGACAGCATCCCTATGCTGCAGCCTGTGGGTCTCAGAGCTACACAATTTAAGGAGCCCCCAGCTCCAACCTGGGTAGGAAAAGAAATAGACATTGGCATGAAAAACAAGGTGTCCAAGATGGCCTGCCTTAACACTGGCTCCTTTCCCTAATTCCCTTACTAGTTCAATCGTTCTGCAAATACTTTCTGAGTGCCTTCTGTGAGCCTGGTTCTGTCGTAGGTATGGAAGACATGGATGGACAAACAGACAAAAGCCTTTGCTCCCACTGAGCTCATACTCCGGTGCATGAACAGAGACAATAAAATGTGCGAATGCATTGTTGGTCTGTCAGAAGAGACCTCTCCCTGAACTGTGGGGGGTGGGAGGTCTTCCATTCCACTCCCCCACCCCAGGGATCCAGCACTTCAGTCTGACTGTCATTGTGGTTTCTGATGGGTTCACGTGCTCCCTGCAAGATGAACCACATTCTCTCCTGCACTTGACCCAATGTCACCTTGCAGGGAGGGTGGGAGGAGGGCCACTCACTCACTCCAGGCTGGGTTCTGTCAATCAACCTTTCAGATAGACTCACTGGGCCCCTACTAGGTGTGAGGAGCTCTTGTAGGCCCCGGAGTTTATAGAAAGGATATCAATTAAAAAGGTGGACAAGACTGCCACCCTCATAAATCGTAGGTTTTGCTGGATGGGAGACCAACAGCGCATTAGGAAGCGAAAATTAAACCAAGCAAGATCAGTTCAGAATGTATTAATTTATGAAGAAAAATATAAGGCAGGGTGTGTGAGGGATATTTTAGACAGGGAAGTCAGGGATGGTGTCTTCAAATGCAGGGACAGGCATTCTGCACTAGAGGAACAGGAAGAGGGTGTCTCAGAAAGAGGATGAGGATGGAAAATGGTCCAGGATGGGGTCAGAAGTGACATAGGGACAGATCACAGGGGACTTCTGGGAGAGAAGCAGGACCTAGTACATACTTTTAAGACATCCCTCTGGGGCCTGGGATAACGCTATAAGAGGCGTGCTCCAGGACAGGCAGGGGCAGGGACGAGGCTCACCACACCCAGACTATCAATGAGAAGGCCGTCTGTGGCACACTGTCACCTGTCCCCAGAGCTCCTCTTGGTGTCAGGGAGATTTGTGGGCACCAGGTGGGGTTCCATGTCAGGGGGCTCTTCGTCTTTAGCCACACGATGCAGACAAGGCCCGAATGTATTTGATATCCCTGCACAACCCTGAGCATTATTGATTCCTTGGGAAATAGACCACAATTATTTTTGAAAATAGATGGCATATTTGTCTATCCTCTGAAGCAGCTCATACTCCAATAGATAAAGTGTCAGGAGAAAAATCAAAGAAAATGGAGGTGTCCATATCTCAGATAGATTTTTTTTTTTTTTTAATATTGGCAACGTACAAACAACTAGCAGAAAAGCTAAAAAGGATAACATCTGAGGGACCAGGAAGAAAGCAGAAGAGAAGTCCTCACTCAGGGGGCCAGTAGGATGCCGAAACAAGAGAAGTGGCCAGGGCAGCCCAGTAACCATTTCCCTCTGCTTGGTTAAGAGTGTCTTGATGTTTTCTTTAAGGAGACAGAGCAGGGAGCCCCCAACCTCCACTTCATGTAGCCTGAGAAGACTGACACTCTCTCTCTGTCTAGCCCCAGCTATGGCCTTATAACCAGATTGGGCCAAAGGAGCTTCTTAATCCTTTCTGAACTTAAGAGAGGCAAGCTGGGTGGGTCCCACCACTTCTACCATGATCGTTAAGCACCAAATCAGGAAATTCGGGTCATCACTGACCCACCCAGTGCCATGTAGACAGGCCAGTTGAGGACGTTCCAGTGTTAGTGACTGACACAGTTGTGGACCTGGGCCAGAAACACGGCCAGGCGAGGATGGGGGGTGGTTACACCTCCTCCTCGGCACTGTGCCCCCAGCTGCACCCAGATCTCTCACCTGTGTGTATCCTCAGGTGGACCTTAAGGTGATGGGATGTCCGGAAAGTTTTCCCACAGTACGGACAGTCCTTCATGGCCGAGCCCAGGCTCCTGTCGCGAAGCAGCGCCGGTTGCTGGACGCCAGAGGATCTCCCAGCCTCCTCGCCAATGTCTGCAGTGGAGGAGAAGGATTCTCACATCACTTCAGCACATGTCAGAAGTTGTTCACACCAAAACTGCTAACACCACACAAAGTTAAACATGTCAATACTACACCTGTCTATTTCATTCTTTAAATCTGACAGAATGCTGACAATTCATGTATTTTCTTGTTATTCTCTTAAATTATTTCATCTTTCCTATCATCATTTTAAGCAGCATATGGTACCTTTATATTGAACTGAATTAAACAAGAGAAGAAACAGCTGTGTCAGCAGCTGGTTTGATTTCTTCTTTTGCTTAGTTCCTATTAAATATTTTTTTTTCCAAAAGTTTAAAAATGTGGGTGTTTGTGGAATCTGATTAATTTATAATATGGGCTAGCTGGAGAGTTCACTATAGGATCGAAATCAGATTTGCATTATAGCTGGCAACCAATAAAGAAAGAAAGAAAGAAAGAAAGGGTCTCAGCTGATTCCCTAAGACATGCAGACATACAGCTATTTTGGGACAGGAAAGAAAATTATCCAAAACCGATCATTTCTTCCTTGTAGAGTCTTGTATCCATTGCTGGCTGGTGTAATCGCATGAAAGGGAGAAGAAAAAGTATGGAAATGCGGTTCCACAATTAGCCCATGATAAACATATAGTGGCATATTCGAAGTCATGTGCAGAAACTCAGCTGCAAAACTCCCATAAACTTAGAGCCCTGCATTTAAATCTCCATGCAGTGACTTGAGAAGTTCCTCTGTAAAGTATCAATACAAATTTTCCTTCCTGCTGTTATTTGTTATGTAACCCAAACCATTAGAAAATGGAATAAAATTTACATACGGCTGCCTTCTGCACAGAAATGATGGGACATAATAGTAAATAAAACTGTGAAAATATCTGGTGGTTGGAGGATATGTTACTGCAGTACCCAAGGCCTCATATCACACTGCCGCCCCAGGCAACATCCCGGGACAGGACGGGAGTTTGGAATCTCTGAGGAGGGGAGGCAAGGGAGCCCTCTCTGGACTCCTTCCTGATTCATGGGCCTCCCCACAGAGCTGGAAGCTGAAGGCCTGGCCCAGAATCCAAGCTCCGGGGGCTCGCAGGGTCCTTGCCGTAGATTCTGGTCCACCCTCTAGGCCTTGTGGTAAATCCCACTATGGGAACAAGGGGACCTTCTGAGATAATGAGCAGATCTGTGAGTTCTGCAGAGAGGAGAATAAATAAAATTTGTACCTTCCAAGCAATGGAAAATGCAAATTGCTTCTATTCAGCAACATCCATTCCTGGTGTTCTCTGCTAACGGCCAGAAGGGACAGACTTATAGACCATGAACAAGATGAAGGCAAACACGCTTTATTCTTATTTGAATGTTTGCTCTAAACAACTGTAGAAGAGCTTTGGGCTTGGAGCACCCTTTGAATTTGGACCTTTGTGTGACCAGATAATCACCCTGGAAAAGTTCATTAAACCCCACTTTTAACCCTAATTTTCCCAACTCTTCTAGCCATTTGGAAGAGGCATTTTTTTTTCACCATTTTGTACAAATGCAAAATGCATTTGGTGGACGAGGCTCATCCATGTCTACAACTCAAAGTCAGTCACCTCCCCACCAAGCGCTGCATTAGTGGTCGTCTAAATGAAAGCAGGCCGAGTCTCCAGGGGTTGCTCTAGAGGTGGTTTATCCTCAGCCCAGAAGAGCAATAGACAGTTGTCAATCCCAAGTTACCCAACCAAGGTTTAAACTGGGGAAATACCAGCTCCTCCTACCCATCTCCTCCTAGCCCAATGCACAACTTGCTGCCTTTGTCTCCTGGCAGTACCCAGTTTTCCTTGTGCTGGGACCATGAGGTCAGCTTAAACAACCATGATCCTCATTAAAATTCTGCCCAAGTGACACTCAAAACATAGTTCAGGTGCCCAATTGAAGTTCAGAGGCCACCCAGCTGTCGGTTTGAATTATTAACAGGACTTAAGTGTCCTGGATGTTGGCTTTAGGTAGAGGCAGGCAGGTGCAGACTTTTGAAGGTAAGTTCCTACAGGTCCTCCTGTCCTGTTCCCCACCCACCCCTGCCCTATGAACAGCAGCAAGGTGGCGGCTATTGAATAAAAGCTGAAGGAGAGCTGACGGAGGGAATATTTCCCCTGGAGAGTTTAGGTAGTGCTCATCCAGAGCACATTCTAGATAAATATCGAGACAAGACTGACGCGCTCCTCTGGAAGACTTTACACAAGTTGGGGATGAGCTGCGCCTCGGTATATGTCACTCTACGTGATGGCCTGTATCTGTTTCCCTTTTATCTTTCTATCTTGGGTATGTGTGGCCCAATAAAAAGAATAAATTTGTAAGATAAACAGCTTTCTTTGCAGATTTAAGAGTCTATTTTCACTTTACACAGGAATGGCCTTTTTTTCTGGGAGGGCCAGGAGGCCTATAGAGTTTACTCTTAGACTAATCCTCCTAGAAAAACAAACTCTGCGCCATGATGAAGGGGAAGGTGGGTGGTCCCAGGAAGTGTCCAGAGAGGCTGGAAGCCAAGTACAGTGAAGGCCGGGGAAGTTCTGGCCCGACCGCACATTCACAGGCCCTGTGTATAAGTCCAATCTGGTGCCTGGGTGGGTGTGTGCTGGCCCAGCCCTGCCCAGAACCCAGAGAGCCCCATTCAAAAGGGAAGAGGCCCTGCTCCCAATGCTTTCTCTACCTGAGTGTAAAAGTCTGTCCCTTTGCAAACTGCAAGACCAACTTCCACAGCTTGGCCTGCCGTACCACACAGCCACTGGCCCTGGATGCCTCTCCCAGGAGCAGGTGGTAGAAAGGAAGAGGTTTGAGAAAAAGTGCCTCTGTGATCCTTGGTCAGACCACCTGTGGGTTGGTCTGAGTTTTTTTTTTTTAATTTCCTTTCATCCAACTTGCAGTTTTTCTTTTCGCTTTTATCAGACACTTTCTCTAAGTGTGTTGGGTAGACTACAAGTGGACATGGGTCAGAGGACAGCCTTGAACTGACCATCTAATCCTACCTGCTCATCTGAGAAAGGAGGAGCCGCTCCACCTAGCAGGGGGGCATTTGGCTACAGGTGGCCTTTGCTTAACACACCCTCATCTTGGCTGTGCTCTGGAGTTTGCATGGTGGAGAAATGGCTGGGAAATAGCTCCTGAGGATGCCGTTTCCTTTTTTGACCCCACTGAATTTAAGGTATGGGTGCCACCAGTGATATTCCAGAGACACCCAGGCTACATTTGCCCTCTTCCCACAGTGTCAGCCTAGGGCCAGTGGGATGAAAAAGGTAAGCAATAACTCTGCCAGCTTTCCTCTGCGCCTACAAGCAGAGAGTTATTTATTTGCTACAAGAGAGGAGACAGATCCAAACCAGTTCAAGTTTTGTTTCACAAATATGTTATTTGGGAGTGAGGGGCCATCAGACAACAGACCTTACTAATTTCATCTTCTCAAGGTCAGAAACCATGCCTTCTGTATTTCCATTTTCTTGTTTTAATGAATCCTCCAAGTGTACTGCGAGTTTGCCTAGGTCAAGTTGACATTAAAGAGCATACCTTCCCTGCGTCTTCCTAGGGGGAGGAAACCCACAGCTGTGGGCTGAAGAAAGAGATGGGGGGTGTGGAGAGAGATGGCCATGGACCTTCTTAGAACCGTCATCATCCAGGAGGCCATAAACTGACAGTACTGGAAAGACACAGAGATGCTTGGAAAAGCAAATAACATTTCAAAGTTAAAGTCTAGACACAAAAGTTAGAGTCCAGATACTGGAGTGATTGTTCAACGCCATCCCTGAGACTGGCTATCTTGCTGTACGCAAACATGATTCGAATTTTACGGCTGCCGCATTATACACTCAACCTTATTATTATATGATATGTTTAGAATTTGAAAACTTGGTTTATAAAATTCCTTTGTACCTTAAGGGCAGATTTCCCTGCAGATTATCTTTAAACATACTTCCTTGGTTTATTTAAAATAGGCTTGTTTGCTGAGAAGGCTGTCTCAGGAGTTGGGTGGTGGAGTCCTTTCCTCCTGGATAGAGAAGCCTGCCTGTCCTTGGGCAATTTTCTTCACCCTTCCCCTGGCCTTTAGTTCTTCCTCACCCAGGGACCTACCAGGGTCCTTCAGCTCTGGTTTCCTGTAATCCTGTGATGCTGGAAGAACCCAAGCCCACCCCAGGCTGCCCACTGCCGCATAGTAACCTCACTCCAAAACTAAATAAGAAACTGCAGATGAGTCTTCCAGAGATGGAAAGAAATGACCATCAAAGGGACAATAAATACTCCTGGAATATTCCATGGACCCCTCCATTTCTCAACTTCCTCTGTGCTAAGTGGAGACCAGGTGACTCATTCCACCAACGGATGAAAACAATGCAGAGGATTTAGCAAGCCCGCACCTCTGCCCCTTCCTCCCCAGATGCACAAGGATTGAGAGAGGGGAATCACCAGATGGGTGGGAGCCGACCCAAATCAGACGTTGCTTGAATGAGAAATAAATCTTGGCAAAGTTAAACCACGGAGATTTAGAAGGCTGCTATTGTGGGAGGTGGTCAGGAGCTGACTAAGAGGGGTAGACCTACTGATGAGGGGTTCTGGGTTCTACCTAATCTCTCAGCTAGTCCTGTTTCACAGAATGAGAGACAGAGCCAAGACCCAAAGAAGCAACGTGAGACAAAAGAAAGACAGGTATTTTTAAAAGTTCTGCCTGTTTTCTCAGTTCTTACTTCATCCTACTGCTAAACAGCCTGATCCTTCACACTCCCAAGAGGATTTATTTTGGAAATATTTCTGCTAAAACCAAAATGACAGTGGTGATGATGGTATGGATGGCGGTGATGGTGGTGCTGAAATCCACGCAGTGGATGGAGACTCACCCCAGCAACCTCATGAGGGAATGGTGCTCTCTGTACATGTGGGCGTTTATTCCTTCATTGCATAAAATGCCATGGTATTTTAATTTCTGTGGAACTTCCAGTTCTACAGTAAATACATTTTCCCTGATGACTTGTCAGTTAATT